CCCCCCCCGACCCTCCCACCCCTGGGGCTGTTCACTGACGAAGAAGACAAATGTGATCGGTCTCCCAGAGGTAAAATCAAACTCCCTGCAACAAAGAAAGAAGATCATCCAAGTCCTTCAAACTTTATGACACAAGAGTCGGTACACAGTTTGGTTCTGGGCCATATGGACATGGGCGGAGCTTAAACTCCAGATTATATTTGGATTATATACATATACTGTATACATACATACATATACATATGTGAAAAACATATGTATATGTATGCATTTATAAACTGATTCATTAACTATATCATGCCAACAAATTTACACATATATACATATACACAAATATATGCGTATATGTACTGTATATGTGTTTATATACTGTATATATATATATAGAGAGAGAGAGAGAGAAAGACACACCAAAATGTGACCTTTGTGTTTAACCCATCACAACAGTGCACTAAGGGGCAGTTCAATCACCCGGGGCTACAGTGTGCAGGGGTTGTCGTCTGGCTCAGTTGCAGCTGGTGAACTCTCCAAAATGTGACCTTTGTGTTTAACCCATCACCACAGTGCACTCTGGCTCAGTTGCAGCTGGTGAACTCTAACCTTCGACTCTCAGGACCAAGTCTGAGCTAACCAGTGATTAGTCACATTTTAATGGATTGTTCCGTTTACATTCATCCTTTTACATTAAGCTGTGCTGCTGTAACAACCAACTGGAGCAGAAAGAATCTGAAAAATGTAAAATGTTTCTACTTTATCTGCCAGGAAGATACTTCCACTGAAACACTTTTAGGGGAGAACAAATTCTTTACAGCTCATTAACTATCTAGACCAAAGTGATGTGTTGACTTTATATCCTAGTCACTATTAATTTTAAGGGATTTGGACATCAACATTTCACAATTTAGATAGAGAATATCACAGAACTACATTTAGTTGCCAGATTTTTCAAGATTATGTCAGTTTGAAAAAGGAGCAAATTTCTGTGGGTTATAACTTGTTACGGTTTGACAGATAAAGACCTGAAGTGTTTGGAAAGTTTCTGTATCTCGGCAATATTTCATGACAAATCAGTCCACTTCCCAGTCAGGTTACATTATTTATTGCTGCTGAAAAAAAAAAGTATAAATTCAGTTGAAATATATAGAACCAGTGCGACTACGACTGCTCTGTTTGTACAATCCATCATCACCAGCTGCTGGAGCTCTGACCTGTACATTCACACCACCGTGAACAGTTACCCAAACGTGAACATAAATGCGAACACACCCTTGAACTTTGTCTTTACAGTTTTTATTCACCTTTCATTACAAACAGGAAGAGGCTGCAAACACAGAAAAAACATAGGTTAGTGAATTGATCATCATCATCAAAAAAGACCAAAACAGATGCTTCCAGATGTTCTACATTCTCTGTTCTCTTTCTGTACCTTATGCTTTCTCTGCTGCTGCCTCCTCATCTCCACCCTTGGTGTTACGTGTGTAGATCAGCTGTGCTCTGTGTTTGGACACCAGCTTAATCATACCTGAAATGAAAACAAACATTCATATTCAAACCCGAGAATGAAAATACAAGACAGACATAACGTAGATACTGTTGTAAAATAACTTCCAACTTATCAATACATTTGTAACCACTAACTGTAGCAATGGGAGAACAGGGCCAAGAACCAAGGCTGAAATCATTAAAATCTCTTATGAAACTTGACTCAAGTACAAACAAAAACGTTTCCACTACATAAACCTAAAAACAATTTTTAATTCACTCAAAACATCCACAGACATATTTGTCACAATAAGGTATACATAACTGTTCAAGTCAACTCAACAGTGGATTATTAATGATGTCACAATAGAAAGTTTTCCCAATACGCATAAATAACATACTTATTCTTTGAATCCACTGATCAGTTTTACTGCTTATAATCACAGATATGCATTTTGTTGTCATACAACAGTAACTGAGGCTGAGAGATATACCTTTAGCAAGCAGGTCCTGGAGAGCATTCCTGGCCAGAGAGCCACGGATCTTCAGCCTCTCGGACACAACTGCAGGTGTGATGAGCTTGTAGTTGGGCACTTCCTTGTACAGCTTGTCGTAGGTGGCCTTGTCGAAGAGGACCAGGTTGTTGAGCTTGTCCCTCACTTTTCCCTTGGACCACTTCTGCTCAGAGAGAAACAAAATGTTACTGTAGCAATGTAACATCGGGGATAATGTTCTCTGGACCATCATTGAAATAAAGTCTCTAAAACACTATACCTTCTTCTTGGCTTTGCCTCCAGATTTGTTGACTGGGTCTTTGTCCTTCTTGGACTTCCCTGCGTCCTTCTTTTTGTCTTGTTTAGGAGGCTAGAGAATGATGATAGAGTTGAACGTTTAATGATTGACAAATACAACATCGTATGTTTGGAGTTAGTGATAATAAGCCATTATAGAGTTGGTGAGATGGGTTAGTTAGAAAGATAGCTAGAAATGAGTACTGCTTTAATAACGAACACAACAGACAGTGCGGTAATAGGTGGCCAAGAACGGCCTGCGGTGTCCACACAGACGGCCTTTTAAAATATATAGTCACCAACATTGGTAATGTACTAAAACAACGTTGTAACATTTAGAGAAATATGCACATAAGCTTAGCGCGTAAAAACACTTGTTAACTCTGTCGGTCTTTTTTTCTTAAGTCACAATGTAGCATGGAAGCATGGTACACTTAGCATGCTAGCGAGCTAGCTGGCGAGCTAACTAGCGAGCCGCTAAACCGCTCAAAAACAAACTACGCCATTTTTTATATCGTCGACAGAGACATAATTTATTGATATAATTTTATTCTAAGTCGTTGCGGGTCGATAACGATTCCAGAAAGACATATATAGGACATATTTGCTTCACTGAATGTGGAATAACTGTCCTCACCATGTTTCCTCGTCAAGATGTCGGAGCGAAAGGAAGTTCACCCGTGCAAAAGCCCCTTAGACAACCCGTAGTTGCGGAAGAGAGCTGAGAATTATGGGAATTCGAGTTAATTTAGGTTTTAACCTCTCAACAATGATTAAAAACCTAAACTGGCAAAGAGACATTAGTCAAAGAGGCACATAATCAACATAAAATGCAAACGTACGGATAATAACTCTTATTTGAATTACTCAGTATTTCGACGACATTGAGGTCACGTGACTCCGGCGTCAGCTGAGTTTGGTGACGTCGCAAACATGGTGATCTACAGCGTCTATGTAGTGAACAAGGCAGGGGGCTTAATTTACCAATATGACAATTATGTCCCACGGGCGGAGGCAGAGAAGACCTTCAGCTACCCGTTAGATTTGATTCTCAAACATCACGATGAAAAGGTGATCGTGTCGTTCGGCCAGAGGGACGGAATCAGAGGTTAGCATGTGTAGCATTAGCATTTAGCCATCTTCCGCTGTATTAAATGTCCTACGTACTATTGACAATGTACGACAACATTTCCAGCTTCTAGGTCTGATACTATGGAATAATGTAAATATGAGCTTCTAGTTCAAAACAATACATGGTAATGCAAGGTGAAATTTAACATTTTTTGTACATAGGTAATACAAGAAATTAGGAAATACATCATCTTAAGTGAACCACTGATATTTGTATCTAATTTGTATGTTGTATGTATGTTTCCCTGTGTTTATGATGCCTGTTGTCTTCAGTGGGACACGCAGTGCTGTCGATCAATGGAGTAGATGTGATGGGGAAGAGCACAGCCGAGGGAAAGGACATCCTTGAATACCTGAAAGATCCCTCTAACTACCCGGTGTCCATCAGGTTTGGACGAGCACGTCTGAGCTCCAATGAGAAGTTGATGCTGGCCTCCATGTTTCACTCGTACGTTAATTTGTGGAAGTAATTTTTTTTTCTCGCGAGATAGACCTTGGGTCCAATTATTAATTCATGTTAATAAACACTTGTTGTTGTTTTCATTTGTTGTCGTCAGGTTGTTTGCGATTGGTTCGCAGCTGTCCCCAGAAGTTGGCAGTTCGGGGATTGAAATGTTAGAAACAGACGTCTTCAAACTCCACTGTTACCAGACTCTCACAGGTGAAATGTGTCGACAATAAAAAAAAAAGGTAATTCAAAGTCCATAAAATGTAATAAACTGATACATTTTCTTCCTGTTTTAACAGGAATTAAGTTCATTGTTCTGGCGGACCCTCGTCAATCTGGTATTGATGCTCTGTTAAGGAAGATTTATGAAATCTATTCAGACTTCGCCCTCAAGAACCCGTTCTACTCACTGGAGATGCCAATCAGGTAACGTCGGAACACTTGATATGAAGTGTTATGATATGAAACGTACCCGTTCAGAATGAACTGATGGTTGGTTTTTATTAATGTAAAATCAAACAACATCAGGCATTTAACCAATAAATAACACTCTGGGTTTATATTGGCTGTTTCCATGACAAACCACAATATTACAAAGCTAATCAACACTTGATATTTGTCATCATGTGTCATCATTCACGTGTGTGTGTGTGTGTTTTTTGCAGATGTGAACTCTTTGACCAGAATCTGAAGAGTTCACTGGAGGTGGCAGAGAAAGCTGGAAACTTTGGAGCCGGATCATGAATCAGGGATAAATCCAGAGAGTGTAAATCTGTCTCAGCAGACATTTTTAATCAGGGTCGTTCTGAGTTTCTATGATTGAAGACTCTCCTGGGTCTTAATTACTCTGGACTGGGACGTGACAAGCTGTAAATACATGTTTTGTAAATACTTAAGAATATTAAACGTGTGTGTTAATACTTCATCCCGGCTTCTCTTTGAGTATTACTATCAAAGATACCAATAGGAATTGGTTCAAATCCTTGGATCTGTTTCACAGGAGACAAATAAGACAAAGGTTTCATTTCAGGAATGAACTGTTACAACAAGTAACGTACGTAACGTCCAGTTAACGTCCAAAGTTACTTCAAGTTTTCTTTTCCCTCATTACACAAGCAGTGATGGTTTTCTATTAATTTGTGATTTCTGATATAAACATTAAGCACTTCATAAAACCATGTGATGGAGGAAAATTCAGTCACATATTTGCTACAAAAACAGACTGAAAAGAAAATCAAGTAAGAAAAAACTTCCACCATCACTGATGGTTCAGATCCCGTTTCCTCTGGATGGAGAGGATGAGGTTTTAGGTTTCAGTCCTTTTTCTTGGGAATGTGTCCCATTTTTGTTTGAATGTTGCGCAGCAGGATGAACCCGACGGTGGTGACGCCACAGATGATCTCCGCTAACCAGAAGGCCGTTTCCCAGCCATGGTGCTTTGCGATTGTGCTAAACGGTAGTCCAGACAGGAAGCCACCAACTGAACACAGAATAAAAACATACACGAGTAAGATTCAGTTTCCACCAGCCTTCAGCAGCTGCATTCAAATCCAAACATCAACCTACTGTTGGCCATCAAGGCCACGATGGCATGTGAAGTTCCACAGTAGTTGGAAGGAGCACTCTCATTGGCTATGACTCCAAACAAGGCTATTGGTCCATAAGAGGAAAAACCAAAAACAGCTCCTAAGAAGAGAATCCACACCTGGCGGAACACAGGGCACGAGAACAGATGTTTACCTGCAGCGAAGAGCTTCAGAAGTCCTTGGTCTAATACGGTACCTGTGAGCTGTGAGAAGTGACGGTGACTCTGAACAGGTACATGGAGGCATACATGCCCGCCATCATGCAGATCAGGATAAAGTGGCGAGGATTGCCGTAAATCTTCCTGCCATGCTGTAACAAAAAAAAAAAAAAAAATCACAAAAGCAATTTTTTTTAACCTATTTGCTAATTGACTTTTCTCTTATCAGTCACTGTATCCCTAATATATGTTGTGCACCACCCTCAAATACTTCTCTGCCACACCTCACTGCTTAAAAAATTAACCGCTGCTACTTTATCAGCAGCCTCAAATACTTTCTGACTTCTGCTTCTTTGGCCTCTGTTCTACCTTTTTACCGGCTAATTACAACCTCTCACGTTAGCTTAACTCCAGCAACTTTTGCGGTTTTATTCTGGGACTTAAACAGGATTTAGAGGATGAGAAAGTCTTGTCGGGCAAACTTACTCTGGCCACCGCCTTGTCAGAGAAGTAACCCGCTGCAAGACTGCCCAACAGACCTCCGACCTCCACGGCACTCATGTATGTGCTTCCTATGAAGAAGAAAAAGAAGAAAAAAAGAATAAATGCTAACGTACAAACGTGAGCTCATACAGTGAAGGAGATAAAGAGAGGCATACCCACGAGTGTAGACTGGCCCTTGTCCTGGATGAGGAACAGCTGACCCCAGTCAGTGCAGGCGGTCTTGACTCCAAACACCACCAGTAAAGACAGGGAGAGCAGCCACAGGTAGGGCGACAGCAGAAACTCAGACAGAGTGGACACAGCTCCTGTGCTGTTCTTGGCTGCCGCCTCGATGTTGCGCAGCCCCACGTCTTTGGGCTCGTTCTTGATGACCAGCAGGCAGACAAAGGACGAGGACACACAAATCAGCCCGGACACCGACAGGATCGTCCTCCAACTGTAGCTCTCGGACAACACGGTGGCAATCACGGGCCCCAGACTGCCGGCGAGATTCATGCTGCAGGAGAGAACTGCCCACCATGTGCCGAACTGAGAGGGCTCGAACCACTGCAGGCACAAGGGGGCGGTGGACGGGGGGGCTGTTACTTGACAGTACATGACGAGATCAGTAATAAAGGCAGAGCCGTGTTGTTAAACAGATGTGATATGTGCCTTGGTGGGATTCAAACCTGTACCTGTTGTTCCTTTTGCTGATTTTATCATTACTTTTTGGCGTTATTGTACGTGTTTATTCTAAATATGCAAGAAAACCTGACTCACACTACAGTACCAGTGGATGCAGCACGGTGGCGACAGAGAGACTCGTGGCTCACCTTGCGCAGCACCCTGCCACAGGGGGGCCAGCCCAGGCCTTGACCCAGACCATTGAGGAACCAGAGAGCAGAGAAGACAGCGACGGTGGAGGACCAGGAGAAGAGCACATTGATGCCTCCCACCATGAACAGACCAATGGAGAAGAGCCAACGAGCGCTGATCTGGTCTGACAGCACGCCGCTGATAAACTTACTGATAGCGTAGGCCAACGACTGGCTGCTGGTGATCATGCCTGGACACAAGGAGTCAGACTTGAGTTTTCACCTTGGTTTAGAACAAAATACAGAAGTTTTTTTTATCAAAAATGGCTCTAAAATTCAAATTTACACGGCCGACATTTTAGCTGAAGTAGTTTGTTGTTTAATAGTAAACCCTGGCTCTGATAATAACACGGTGATTACGTGACAGATCAGGGTTGTGTCATGTCTGCGTAAAGACATGCAACCGTGTCATACCCAGGTCATCCTTGTCCAGCTGGATCTCCTGCATTAGTGAAGGCATCACGAAGGAGAAGGTCTTTCTGTTGAAGTAGTACAGCATGTAGCCAACAAACATGGCCAAAAAGATAGTACTCCTGTAGTATCCATAGCCCCCCTGAGCCATGACGTCCAGAAGTCCTACGAAAACCTTGCACACAGTCCTGAGGCGGTTCCTTCGACGGCTACGGGCTGCCTGTGACAGTGAACTTTGGCTCCAGATCCACTGCACAGAGATGAAAAAGTGAGAGCGAGTCTCCAATCAGCAGGAGGGGGTTAATGGTCAACTTCCAAAGTGAATTTAATCTGGAAAAAAGCTGTGGCTGGCAGACGCAGCTCTCAGTCAGAGAACACGAGCTGGAATATATAAGTCTGGATATCTGGACATGATGTTCTCTTCAGGAACCAAACACAGAAACACGTCTGACCTGACCTTGTTGTTGTTGTCGTGGTTTCCCTCTGTTCCTGTGTGTCCCCCACACGACCAATCAGACACATTACTTAGTTGATGAGGTTAATGATTCCCTACGACAGTCCAATAGTTGCTGCAGAGCGGTGGGAGGCTCCTCTCCAGGTGAGGGGGGGTAACTGCAGGGTTCACACACACGGGCACAAAAACACACACAGGTTTAATGTCCAGAGTCTGGACTACAGACGGTCTACAGACGTCAACATGAGACAAGTGTGAAGAGAGAATGTCAATCCAAGTGTTATTACTGTGCATGTTTTAAATAAAAAGTCATTGACGTTTATGACTTTACCACTGTGTTTATAAAGGTCTGATTCTGTTTAAGAGACTCTGGAAATAAAACAACTTTTTATAATGTAGGGCTGAAGAATAAATACATTTATATATTTGTTTTATCCAGTAATAAGTCCATTATTATTATAAACGACGATTCTAAAAACGACTTAAGGCGTTTACAAAGACAACCACAAGAGGGCAGCAATGCAAGACAGAGATGCCAACTTCTAAAATTGAAAAGCTGAATCAGGAAGGAGCACAAAACAACGACTGACATGACATTGGTTCCGATTAATTTGCCTAAAAGTAAAGTTAAAGATGATCAATGTTATCGAGCAATGGACGCGCGAATACCGTTGGATAAAACTGGACGTCAATCCCGAACCTCCATCTTCACGTATGCGCCAAGAAATACCAGGAAACGCGCTTCTGCTGTGTTTACGACTATTTTTAACGGTTTCCGCTCATCCCTAGTATCGTGACGAATCGCGTGTCCGTGGCTTGAACTTCGTGTGAATTCAATCTAACAGTCGATAAAAGAGTCACGCAACAACACAGAGGAAGCGCAGAGTCAAAAGACAAAGACAAAACAAATCAAACACACGTACGAGCCATCGGCCCCAGAGGTCGGAGACGTGGAGGGGGCGGGGCCATGGCGCCAACTCCAGTCTTGATTGACAGATGTGTCTTCAGTTGAACCCTATTTTCTTCACTTAGCTCATTTATTTACGCATTCAGATACCGATTTTACGGTATTTCTCGGTACGAGTCTGTTGGAACATGTAAAGATGATTCAGTTTCGTGCGGCGTGACGAATCATTAGAATGACATCACTCCTTCATGAGGCTTTTATTACGTCATACATTCAGCCTCGTTCTAAAAACCCAACAGTACTTTGCACAATCTTTGTACATTTAATATTTCTATCTGTCTAGTTCTCTGTATTTAAATATTAATTAATTAATAAGTGTCTGTGTGTGAGAGATCGTCACGTTAGCCGGCCCCTTCCCTCGTCTCCATGACAACAGACAACAAACATTATCACAGAAGGACACTGGTCCAAACTACACACACACGTTTCTCTATATTTTTATCAAGTTAATCGATTATTTTGGTTTCAGGGATCAATAAGGAAGAACAAAAAAAAAGTATTTAGAAAAATCACTTTTAACCTTCTTCTCCCTGGACTGCAGAGAGTGAGGGGCACGATGGTGAGTTTTAAACAGGCAGAGACCCCCCCGGGACTGTCAGTGTGTGTGTGTGTGTGTGCTCTTAGCTCAGACCGTCCAGGTTTGTAGGACACTCAGCGTTAGATCATCTAAAAGATCTTCTTCTGAGTTTTTATATTTTTAGGCTACAGCTACACGTATAAAAACCTTCACCAAACTGACTTTAAAAAACATTTGCCCCCTGCAGAGACTTGCGTCCAACTCCAGCACCACTAGGGGCAGCAGCAGCAGCGACAGCCACCGTCGATACCGGACACGGGCCCCCACCTCGCAGGTGGACGAGAGTCTGTTTGGAAGGAGCTCAGAACCACAGGTGAGAAACAGGAAACAAAACACACACCTGTACTGATGTCGACGCCGAACCGCGTGGACTGACTTTGTGATGTCATGACACAAACAGACGGTTCCGGAAAGACACAGAAACACTTCGTCAAAGTCAAAGGCCAAGTCCCAGAACAAGCAAGAGGCGGAGACGATTCAAGTCATCACCAAAGATCTGATTCGAAACCTCAGGTGAAATAAAAAAATTGAAAATAAAAAAAATAAAATGACAAAAACGGTGTCGTGTAGTGAACGTTCGTACTGCTTTTACATGACAAAAACGGTGTTGTGTAGTGAACATTCGTACTGCTTTTACTTTGAAAGGGTCCCACTGAAGGATCCTTCAGGAGAGTCCGTCATTCTTCCATCTGCGGAGTTTGAGCGAATCACCTCCACATCCCGGGTCCTCACCCAGCAGGAGAAGGAGGCCATGATGGAGGCCTATCACAGGAGGAGAGAAGAAGAACTCGTAGGAACTTTACTGAAAGTTTAATTGAACAGAAATTAAACATGTATTTGCAAGTATTTATAGAGAATTCTGAGAATAAGAAGCTCATTCTCCGCAACGCAAAACTACAGACAAAGTTTGTTGTTGTTTGTTGTTGACAACATGTGGATTGTAGACCCATGCAAGGTCATTCTGCGAGGCGCCCAGGTGACGATCTGAGCTTTTTGTCTTGTTTCCACCAATGAAAACATTTGAATTTAAATTCTTAAATAATAAAAAGAAGAAAAGCTGGAGATGGGTTAGTGTTGAAGATAATGAGCTTCTATCTTCTCTACATGTTTGTTTGTGTTAAATATTATAAAAGTGTAACTGTATTCACCCTGGCCTGATCTGTGTACGTCATCCAGAAAGCTGCTGAAGAAAGGAAGCGACAGATTTATGAGGCAGACTTGCTGCGTAAAGAGAATCCTGCACTCACCGAGTTGGAGCTGGAGGCTCGGGACCGGGCGCAGTACCTGGTGGAGAGGACCAACACTCTGAGACTGGAGCGGGAGGAAGAGATCCAAAAACTCAACAAGGTAAGAACCTGCCGTGGGTCCACCGCAGAACTGTCCGTGTCCTCCACGACCGTCAGAACCTCTCCGTCTGTGGATCTCCCCTCCAGCTCATCCTGGACGCCCAGTGCCAAGCCACTCGAGACGCGCAGATCCAGGAGAAGAAGCAGATCCAGGTGGAGCTGTCGGAGGAGGAGAAGCGGTTGGACGTCATGATGGAGGTGGAGCGTCGAAAAGCCCTGGAGACGATGGAGCAGGTCGAGGAGTTACGCAAAGAGGAGAGGATCAGGTGTTGTAGAATATTCATTCACATCTCTTACCAAAATCATCACTCAGAATCTGATGGTCCAATGGACCGAACACTTCTAAATATAGACAAAATGTTTCTCAATCCAGTGGAATGCAGCAGATTAATGACCAGATCCAACAACGACTAGAGGAGAAGCAACTCCAGGAGGAGATGAAGGAGCAGGAGAGGCAGCAGACCAGGAAGAACCAGGAGAGGATGAACCTGGAGGATCTGCAGGTGTCCAATCAAAAGCCACAACCTTCAACCACGTGGGTGACAGAGTGGATTTCTGAAGATCTGTGTTTCCTGCTCTTCTTACAGGCCCTGCAGAGACGAAGGGAGGAGCAGCAGCGCCTCCTGGAGGAGGTCTTGCTAATCAATGCTGAAGCAGTGCAGGCCAAGGATCAGAGGAAGGAGGAGGAAAAGCTGGCTGACATCAGAGATATGGAGTTCCTCCGCAAGAAACAGGTTACACCAAGGACACGGCGACAAAAACAAATGAACAGATTATATTGTTTGGATTATGGTCGTTGTAATCAACGTAACCTCTGCAGGAGCGGGAGGCCGAATATGAAGCCGAGCAGCGTCGGATCAAAAGGGAGAAGGAGCTGGAGATAGAGCGGCTGAGGGCCAAACAGGAAAGAGCAAAAGACTACAAGGCGGAGCAGGTCAGACCTGGGGTTCAGTCTAGATGTTTCAGCTCTTTGAAGGTGTAATGATGGCAGGAAACGTTTGTTTGTTGGGAAGGATGAGCTACGGGCTCGGAGGAACCAGCAGATCGCAGACAGAGAGTGGAGGAGGAAAGAACGGGAGCTGGCCGTGAAGAAGGCGCAGGAGGAGGCGCTGCTGAGGGCGGCTCGTCTGGAGCAGGTTCAGTGCAAAGAGCACTTCCTGTCCATGGAGGCCGGCAGAGAGAAGGCCGAGTTTGAGAGGGTGCTGAAGTAAGACACTGTTACCAACGTCACTGTGTGATGATTGTAAGACTTACAGGAGCAACGTAGTGGATTTGACGACTCTCTCTTACCCAGGGTGCAACAGGAATCAATATCCAAACAGATGGAGGAGGAGGAGAGGCAGCGCCACAAGGCCCTCCGTCACGCCGAGGCCATTCGACAGCAGGTGAAGGAACGCGAGGCCTTGGCCGTAACCAAGCGCAGAGAAATCTTCAAGGAGGCCGATCAGATGACAGAGGAGGAGCGTCAGAGGCGCGCACGCCTCAGTGAGTTCAAGGAGAAAAAGCTGAAGGAGCTCAAGTGAGTTACAAGCAGATTTATCGACCGTTTCAATCAGTTTTTCGACCCAGGTACAAACCAGAGCTGTTGTTGTCGCAGGGCCACGGGGCTGCCTGACAAATACTGCACCGAGGTGGAGAGGAAGGCGAGGGTCTGTCTGCTCTGAGACGAATCAAACACGGAACCAGCAGGTGGTCTTCAGGGTTGTTGCTGTTTTGACCTTGTGTATCACTATACGCAGATGATGGTCTGTTGGGACAGTTTTCACAGAGTGTTTCACAGTTTGAAGATATACTGAGAATAAATGTTGTACATCAACAAGAAGTCTTTTTGGTTTTCCACTACCAACATTTCCAGAAAATGTGATACGTTGTCCAACATGCACTTAATGATAAAAAGTTGCAATTTTGTGCCTGAACTTTAATTTATCAGGCAGAAGACAAAAACAAAAAAGTAATAAGTTCCATTCAAGGAATCCAGTTTTCGGTTTTTATTTCAGCTAGTATTTCCCTTTCAGGTAAGTCATATTCCTCCACTTATCATGGACAGATCCCCAGTATTGTTAATATGCATGACAACAGAAAGGAATTCAACTCATGTCAGGGTTGGGATGACACTTTACACACACACAGCTCGAAGCGTGTAAGGAAGTTAGGTACATCAAGGTAAATGCAAGTTTCTTACTTCAGACCGTTCTTGACAAAGAAGTGGAGTGACTTCATAATTACCATCTAAACACACAACCTACAGGAGGGTTGGCGGTTCTAATCCCACTGGTCGACAGACCAACCTCTGTCTTTGTTCTCCACTTACCGCGGGAGGAGAGAGAGAGAGGACGGGGAGTGGGTGGAGCACAGATGGGCGGGGTTGGGGGGGGGTCTCCATCAAGACGATTTCAATTCATTATAGTCATATCTGTACACACACACACACACACACAGAAAAACAACAAACAAAAAAAAACAAGTAATGGTGACCCAGGGAAACACCACAACAGCTGGCATACACGTGACCTCGGCGTGAGGGAGGTTCAGAGTAAATACACACACATGGTAACGGTCAAGGCTGGAGGACCCTGGAATTCTGGGAGCCGCGGTTTCCCGTCCTTGCACATACACGGAGAGTCTCACACGAGCACTGTACACGGCACGAGAGGTCACCTAAGTACAAGGAACTGACGCTGAGGGCGCTAACATCTAGGAGGGCGGACCGTTCAGCCCAAGACGGGCCGAGAGGGGAGGAGGGGGTTAAAACTTTAAAAGGAGACCGTCAGGTCACGCACGCTCTGTTTCACACACAAACACGTAGTCGTTCACACCGTGACACACGTCTGTGTGCGTTTAAAACTCCATAAAGCTACACGCTTGTGCAGAATATAACTATCAGTACTTAGTGTTGCTAGCTATAGCCATCAAAATGGCAATATATGTTCAAATATTATATGTATCCTTTTTTTTTTTCTCTCCTCAAAATTTACACAATGATGAAATGTATGACAGACGACGTAAGCTGTTCGGTCAAAGTAAAGACAATCATCGACGTTAAGTTTCTTCTTCTTCTTCTTCTTCGAGTGCAAATTCCAATGCTCCTCCACCTACTTCAAAGGTTCATTTGCTCAGCTTTAGCCAGACCACTTCTGCAGAAATCAACTGACAACAACAACAACAACAACAAAAGACATCAACGTAAACACACACACACACACAGAGAAAAACCAGTAAAGTAGTCATAAATATGGAATGTGAAAATAAGCTCATGGTCCAGTTCTGGTTTTTTTCAGTAGAATACAAATAAAAGTCCTTTGATGCAGATAAACGTCTTCTTTGATAACAACAGAATAATAATAACTTTAATCATAATAATAATAATAATAAAACAAATATAACACTCAAAATCAAAGTGGGCTGTTGCTTGCTTGTGGCCTCTGTTGTGAGTAGACGACCATGGGACGCTGGTGAGAAACACAAAGAAAAAGACAGATGGAAGGAAGGAGTCGAGTCGGGTCGAGAGGTGGTGGTGGTGGGGGTGGGGGGGGGGGCGTTCGCTGTCCCGGGGCCCAGCAGTTTCTGAGAGTGTGGGAGCCTGGGCCCGTGGGACTCAGCTCCACGAAGGGCAGGGGAGGGGAGTGGGCATTGGGGACCTGTGTCAGTA